TGTTTTACCTCAAAGAGGCAATCTGAGCTTTTCTCGTCCTTTTTAAAGAAAGAGAAAACAGAAGTAAATATTTCATTCAAGATGTTCAAGACAGAAGTAACCCCCTAACTTCTGTGTGTGTCAAAGTACTGTGCTTTATATGTATTTTGTCATTATTTGTTTCATTGTTGGGGTGGTTCATTCCACCGTGGCAGCTCAAGGAATCAGGCACAAATCAGGCCAAAGAAAAGCAAAGGGTTTAATCGCTGTGATTTAATTAACATAAAGATGAATTAGTTTGTGATGTCACCTAGTGAAAAAAAAAAAAAACTTTTTTCCAGGCAACCCCATGCACATTCCCTTTTAAGATTATTCTTATTCTCACATTATTTTAGAACGTGTCGTGAAAGCTTCAATTTTTTTGTCTAGTCAGAGAAGAAACTCTGCTAGTTTTGAGTCTTGGTTGAAGTCTAAACTTTTCTTTTAATAGCGCTGTCAGTGTATTAATTTGTTTTACCCTGTTGATTTTTCCTGTGCATGTCAGCAAATCCTTAAATTTCTTCACCCGTGTGGCATCTGCCATAATGATCCCACACCAGCTAAACACCCTCTGGCTTAGCACTGGCTGACCAACACTCTTGCTACTGGTTGAACTGGAAAATGATGGACAATTTTAATTTGTTGTTTGAGCCTTTTGTTTGAGCTGCATTTTTACCAACGGGTAATGCCAGCATGGGTGTTTCAATTTGGTAAATTGTTTCAGTTTATTTATAGTGAAAAGCTTTGTTTCTCCCATCACTGACAACATGTTACAAATGGTAAATATTGACCCCATAAGTTCACTTCAGAGTGAAAACAACCATGGCTGCCATATTCAAACGTCCTTTCAAACTGAATATAGCTCAAAACTTGAAGAGTCCTTTGGAATGAAGGAATTCAAAGGGTACGACTGATGGACACGTTGATCCCGCACAATTCCATTCAGAAGAACTCATCCATATTCAATTCAATTCAGCTTTATTTGTACAGCGCTTTTACAATGTAGATTGTGTCAAAGCAGCTTCATATAAATCACAGGTGTCAAACTCAGTTCCAAAAGAGCCGCAGCTCTGCACAGTTTAGTTCCAACCCTAATTAAACACACCTGATCAAACTAATTGAGTCCTTGAGTCCTAGGTTTGTTTGAAACCTACAGGTAAGTGTGTTGGAGCAGGGTTGGAACTAAACTGTGCAGGGCTTCGGCCCTCCAGGAATTGAGTTTGACACCCCTGACATAAATGGTCAAAGTAACTGGATCAGGGTAGTTCAGTTTTTTAGTAGTGCTGTCAATCGAATAAAAAAAAAAAAACTTAATCTTACCTTTTTAAAAAAATTAATCGCGATTAATTGCATTTAAAATACTGAAACTTGTAATTTTGCCTATTTAAATGTAAAATTAATGTAAACGCAAGAAAAAAATATTTAAATTCAAAATATTATTGTTTAATAGAATTTTTGTTTAACTTGTAACACAGATTTCTTCATGTAAACAACATACCCACAATAAACCATCAAGATCCTGGCTTGACAGCCATATTTATTACAGAAATTAAAACACAGGCATGTTAATGACATTTAAATTTCAAAACAATCAATGCCAATAAAGAAAACATTGATTTCCATGTTGGATTCTTAGTGGACTGCAAAAAAATGCCAAAATACAGGAATTGCAGATATTGAAAATGAAAAATTATAATAATAAACTATAGAATACAAACTGTTGCACTCATTGGAAAGTTTTATTGCTGTGAGTTGAGAACATTAATTATAGTATAGAAACAATTTTGCTTAATAGTCCTTTACATTCATCCAGTTGCTAAGACTAGGAGTATCCCGCAAGTGCACAGAGACTCCCAAATGCCCCCAAATGCCTTGCAAACCGGTCGTTAAATACATTGCACACCCCTCTCGCCCCTACTCAGATACGTCGCTCACTCCACCCCTGACACCCCTCAACAGGCCTAACATAGACACACACCACGCGCTGCAGACGTTTTGGCCCCAACGGCCTTCCATACTAGAGCGACTCCCCTCAGATTCAACACGCATGATCACGGTCATCAAATTTGCTAAGCGTCCTAAACTAAGCGTCCTAATTACTGTATTTCACAATGATTCTGACACAACAACGCGAAGCATACGCTTTCGTTGCGTTTAATGAGGAAACACGCTAAACTTGGAGGGCTCATGCTAAAAGGCAGAGTAATGCCCTGTCTTTGACAGCTCGCGACTTCACCAGACGTTCTGAGTACATTCACATAAGACACCAATACTCCGATTTTAATATGATTAAGATAATACTCATATTAAAATTCTACTGTGTAGTTATAAAAGGAACCTTACCTTAAAGGAACACCGAGTCACGAAATGCGGAGGATTTTCTTTCTGTTCGCCATGCGGTATCAACTTACAACAGATGTCGAAAGTTAAAAATGAAACACCCGAAATTGCATGAAACTCTGGATAACTTGTGATGCAACTAATTGTTTTAAACTGGAACTTGCCTTCAAAAAGTGCTTCCTTGGTCTTATCCACATTTATTGCATGTTGAACACACGTCCACCACAACAGGAAGTAAAAAACCTGAACTGCGTTAATTTCGTTAATTTTTTTAACTCGTTAATTATTTAAAATTAATAGCATTCGTTAACGTGTTAATTTTGACAGCGCTAGTTTTTATTGTTTAAGTTCAGTTCAGTTTAGCTCAGTTCAGTGTGGTTTAAAGTCATTACTGAGAGTCCAAACACTGAAGAGCAAATTCATCAATGCGTAGCTCTACCGATCCTGAACCATGCAAGCCAGAGGCGACAGCGGAGAGGGAAAAAAACTTCACCAATAGGAGAGTGAAGAAAAAAAAACATTGAGAGAAACCAGACTCAGTTGGGCACGACCATTTTAATTTCTCCGCTGGCCAAAAGTCTTGTGCAGAGCTGCAGTCTCAGAGGTGGAGGCTGGAAGCTGGCCTCAGCGAAGACTCGTCTGTCCCTTCAGCATCACTGGAATCAGTCTCTTACTCTCCACTCCCCCATGACCACCAGCGCAGCAGCAGCTCAGGATACGGCCTGGTCCCGGATATGGAAACCTTGAGATCATCTCGTCGCTGGTCTTGGATCCAATCAGTGGCTCTGCATAATCTGAAGCCCTCGGGATGAGTATCCCCAGGTAGAAATGGAGAAAAAAAGAGAATAATTAGCGTAGCTGTTGTTCATAGTGTAAATAAACAAGATGCAGAAACTTGTGTGGAAACCCGCTAAGTGATGCATTGAGTGTATGCTTTACTAAACAGATAGGTCTTTAATCTAGTTTTGAACTCAGAGAGTGTGTCTGAGCCTTGGATGTTATCAGGTAGGCTTTTCCATAGTGTAGGAGCCATAAAGGAGAAGGTCCGACCTCCTTTACTCGACTTTGCTATTCTAGGTGCTACCAGAAGCCCTGAGTTTTGAGATCTTAAGGAGCGAGTTGGATTGTAGCGAGACAGAAGGTTGGTTAGATAAACAAGAGCTAGATTATTAAGAGCTTTATAGGTGAGCAGTAATATTTTAAATTAAATACGAAACTTAACAGGCAGCCAGTGTAAGGAGGATAAAATTGGAGTGATATGATCATAATTTCTAGACCTGGTAAGAACTCTGGCTGCTGCATTTTGTACTAATTGAATATGCCTTAATCACTTCCAAGGTGTCACTCAGGAGGGTAAACACTTTAGAAGGGATTAAGGGTTATGAGTCCTTCCAAATGGAACTGTGTAGGTCTCTCACACACTTTGCAGGCAGTGTGTGCAAGCAACTTTTATGACCTGTGGTTAGGTTTTTTAAAGTAAAGTGCCTTTACTCAGACATATAATATTTCTTGTTTTGATTATACCTTTAGATCTGTTTATCAATGAACGATAAACTGGATGCATTGTGATCCCATTCAAATAAAGCATAAAATCCCTTTTAAAGAATTTACGTTGACGTTTACCTGCTTTTGGAACGACGTTCCTATTTGAACTCCCCAGGCAAGGCATTTTCCCTCATAAAATGTTTCCCCATATAATATGTTAGATTCACTGCACAGGACTTGTTTTAGCACTTACAAATTGTTGCTTTTTGTTGATATGATTGTTTATTTATCATTTATGATTGTTTTTATTTACTGTTTATTTATGTTTTTAACTGTAGTCTCTTTGCTTAATAGATGTTTGCAATGTAGTCAGTCAAGTGAAACAGATATTGTACTTCATGCTTTATTGGCAGATGGGAAAATACACAGGATTTACAATGATCAACAGTTCCTTTTTTCAACACATCTGTGTTTATCAAATAAGAGTAAATTAAAAACTTTAAAGATAAATCTATGTTGTTACAGTTAGGGTTAGGGTTTGTTTGATCTTGAACTTGACAGAAATCTAGTGCTTTAATTACATTTGAAGAGATCATGCAAAAAACTCTAAGCTGTCCGAAACTTTCTTCAAAATTAAGGGCTTTTATTAGACTCCTGTGTGTAGGTTCAGTAATTTTTACTTTTATGGAAAAGAATTGTAAGAATTTTCAAAGTCTTTAAAGTTAAATAACTCAACATAAAAATAGGAGGCTGAGAAAAAAGCAAATTTTTACTAAAATTTAGATAATAGAGGTGAACGGGTATAGTTGAAACACAGAGAGAGTTGCAACACTACTAATTCCACGAATCAGGGATAAAATAGGGGTCATGTAACATTTTCAGTTTTCACACATGGAGATATTCCAGTCAGTCTTGCAATCTCTCCGGAAGCCACAACAGAAAATCAAATTCTGTGGTAAAAAAGTAAAAATAATAATAACAAAATAATATTTTGTTTAGTACCTCTGCTGTTTTAGATGATGTTGTATTAAATCAGGTCAAACTGTAGTAAAGAATGGTGTATCAACCTCCTGCTAATTTCAAAGAACCATGCTAATACAGCTAGCTACACAATGGGTAAAAGTGAGAGGGTAGGTTAAAACATGTGTTTTGAAAGTATACAAACACTTACACACACTGAACTCTTCATTTGTATTAAAAAGGAATGGTAGGTTGTTTTAACTCATTTTTTTAGTAACACATGGACTAATATCTGGGTTGATTTTTTATGACTTTTTCCTTGCTGTCATGAGCCATATTTTACACACATTTGAGCTAAAACAACCCATATCATGTTAAAGTGTTGGATAGATGGAAGCATTTAGAGGTCAGTTAAATCAAAGTATAAATGAAGTCTGCGATGATTCAGATGATTGTGATGATTCAGATGATTGCAGATGATTATTAGATCTTATGGTTTGTAGATTAATCAATCATCACAGATTGCTCTTGAGAAGATCAGGACATTGAGCTCTATGCTGGATTCATTCGGCGAACTGCTGTCAGTTTCTGAAAATAGAAAAACAACATTTTATTATTTTTGTGCACTACATTCAGTTAGAGAACATCACACTGGCCTGCGGTTTATGATTTTATACTCAACACTGGGGAATTAAAATATTGCATGCTGACCTTTTTTCGTAAGGCTTTCAGTATATTCTTGCCCAAATTTGACTCTGGATTCAAGCATTTCTTTCCTGCTCCTTTCATCAAGGTGACACTTTACAAAGGAAAGCAGAGATAAACAACAGTTTGATTTGATAGCTGAAGTATGAAAATGATTAGACCTCCTGTGGATTTGGTTTTTATTCTTTTTCGAATATTTTCACAGTATTTTCTTTCTTTTTTATCTGGAGAAATTCTTATTTGTTTTTAAAGGATAGTATTAAGTTCAATATTATTAGCCCTTTTAAGAAAATATGTATTTTTGATTGGCTACAGAAGAAACCACTGTTGTCCAATGACTTGTCTAATTAACTTATCTTGGTTCAACTTAATAAGTTAAGCCTTTAAATAGTAATATAATAAATAAAAACTTAAATGACTAGTAAAATATTATATATTGTCATCACAGCAATTACTTAAGTCATTATAAAATAAATATTAAAATTATTATTTTGAAATATATGTTAAAAATATTCCCAGTGATGGGTTGCAGCTGGAAGAGTATCCGCTGCGTAAAACATATGCTGGATAAGTTAGCGGTTCATTCCGCTGTGGAGACCCCAGAATAATACAGGGACTAAACCAAAAAGAAAATGATGATGATGTTAAAAATATTCTCTCCAATAAACAGCACTTGGAAACATAAAAAAAAATAAGGCTAATAATTTTACATTCAACTAGAAAAATTCCAAAGTGCTTACACAATCTCCAGTCTTTTACAAGAAGGACTTGGATGGATGATTTGAATCTTCTCGATTGTCTTTAGATTGACATTGTTTGCTCCTTTATCAGCACACAAACATCTGTTTTTCAGATCCGGTATTTTGCCTGAAACAGTCCAGTATTCATTCACAATTCAAATTTCACACTATGCTAAGATGATTTAAATGAGGAAAAACAAGCATGAAACATGATTTATTTGAGAATAAACTCACCTTTCACCTCCACCATAAGGAAACAGCCAAGAGCAACAAAAGCTGCAGCAGTTTTCATTTTGTGTGTGATGTCAGATGATCTTTCAAGTGTCTGCTGAGATGATATTATGAATAATTTCACGCGGCTTTATTTTATACTGCCGAGGTCAGGCCACTGATGTGACCATTAGTTTTTGTTTCGTGTTAAAGCTTCCTTCATCTGTACTAGGAAATCAAAGTGTTTATATGAAAAGAGAAACTTTGTCACAAGATAATTAATTAGTAATTAAGGAAAAGCATGTGTTTATGGTTTCATAATAAACCATTTCAGTGAAGTTCAGGACAGAAATATTTTCCATTATCCACATATCTGTAATTCAGCCATTCTGGAATGATTCAATCAGTTTTGATATCATTAACAAAAGTTAAATAATGTAATAACTTAATAATAATAATAATAACAATAATAATAATAATAATAACAATAATAATAATGGCCTAGTAGGTAGTGCTGTCGCTTCACAGCAAGAAGGTCGCTAGTTCAAGCCTCGGCTGGGTCAGTTATCTTTTTTGTGTGGAGTTTGCATGTTCTCCCTGCATTCGTATGGGTTTTCTCTGGGTGCTCCTGTTTCCCCCACAGTCCAAAGAAATGCTGTATAGGTGAATTGGATAAGCTAAATTGTCCGTAGTGTATGTGTGTAAATGAGAGTGTGTGGGTGTTTCCCAGTGATGGGTTGCAGCTGGAAGGGCATCCGCTGTGTAAAAACATGTGCTGGATAAGTTGGCAGTTCATTCCGCTGTGGTGACCCCCGATTTATAAAGGGACTAAGATTGGATGGACTTCAAAGGTAGCTGAAGTGCATTCTTGCCAAAGAGGCCGTACTCACACTATGCACAGTTGCCTCGAACCGGGCCAAAGCATGCTTGTTCCTCCTTTCGTCTCCCCCAACGGCCCGCACTCATTACAATCAGTCCTGGGCATGCTTACATCATCGATGCTGCGCTGTTCAGTAAGCGCTCTCGCTCAGCACAGTGGAGATTTCTCTAGTTATGTCACTTTAGTCCTTAAGGGATGCGGTGACACACAGTCAGATGTTTTGCCGAACAGATCAGCCATTTTTCACGCTGTTAATTTTATATATATATATATATATATTTAATTTTTATTTAATTTTTTATATAATCCTCTTTTTTTAAAAATACTTTTGAACAGTAATTTATAATGCTGTTTTGAAGGTTCAATTCTTTGAATGCTGAAAAATGAAATTACACAGCTGTTTTCAACAAAAATATTATAAAAAAAATCTTAAGCAGCTAATCAGAACAGAATGATTTCTGATAAGATGATTGTTGACTGAATGACTGCTGAAACTTTTTTGTATGAATAAATTACATATAAAATAGTTCACCTAGAATTTTTTTTTTTTTTTTACAATTATTATATTGGAAATATTTACATATTTTAAATTGGTAAAAATGACAACATTGTTTTTTTACTGTATTGTACAATATGATGTGATCATGTTTCATTCCTTCTAAGTTACATATGTACTTGTTTAAATAATAATTATTTATTCCATAAAGTCAGTATTTAGGGGACAAAAACACATGAATGTCAAATCTGAGATGAAGCATCCTCATATTTCAATATAAATTTTAAAATAAAGATTTAAAATGCTTCTACAGCAGCAGAAATTTTTCCGGCAAATCATTGGAACAATGTTGGTCAGTAAATGAGGACAGAATTTTTATTTAGAGGGAGCTGAGCTTTTACTATGCTGAAACCTTGTCTTCTGAATCCAACTGTTATACAGAAATGATATTGAATATATTATATATATTAAAACTATTAAATTAATTGAACAATGCACTTATACAGTATATGAACAAACATGTATACACATTTTAGATTTATTTAAATCACGTGAAAGCAAAAGAAAACAGCGTTCCTTTAATCAAGTCAGTGAGGGAAATACCAATTTTACACAAACACAAACGCCATCCAAAGTCCTACTTTCAAATTTAATCAATGATCATTCAATGATTATCTGTGCTCTCCCAGCCAAGATATCGAAACATTTGGTGTGTTACTGTATATTTTATATTGAAAAGTGAAAGAACAAGAGTATGTTAAATGATTCAATTGTTCTGCATAACACACATTACAATAATGTGGCATTTCAGCTTTTGAATTCATATTATGCATTTTGCTAAACACAGGCTTTGTATATCATCCTGGTTTTAATGCAGGATATAAACTACTCCATATATGACACTTTGCTCATTAATACAAAAGGCTCATTGGGTTCTGGTGAGAACCAGACAGTATGCGTAGGATTTTTCAGTGTCCTTTTATTGTAATCCCTAGCCTCTCCTATCAGCACCTGGTTTGAGTTTGTTATAGCTGTTTCTATTTCAGAATCAGTGAATTTTCTGTTAAAATGTCTTTCCAGCTTCTCCTCAACCTTCTTCATCAGCTTTGAAACCTGAGATCTGTCCTCTCTCTGACTAATGTTGAGGACATGATCACAGCTTATACATTGTTCTTGGACAACATTTCCAATCAGCTTTGGTTCATCTGTAACAGTGGAAATGATCAAGAGCCTGTCGCTGAATCTCTCCTGAAGAAAATCTTTCATTTTCACTGCTGTCTCTCTCTCTTCGGTACATGGCTTTTCTGATATGACTAGGAGCAAAGCGTAAGGTTTCTGGCTGATCAGGCTGATGAGAAATAAACTTTGCTGCATTTCTTCCTCAAAGTGTCCAGAGCTTAACTTGTCAGGAGTGTTGAAAAGAACCACTTTCCACCTTTCATGTTCCCCCTCCACATCCACACACACCTCTCCATCCTCCACTATGGTCTTCCTTTGGGTGGCCTGAGATAAATCCTCCTGACTGTCTTCTCTGCCAAATATCATGTTTGCAACTGCAGTCTTCTCAAACCCAGATGTGCCCAGCAGCACGAGTATCAGTTCTGATGAAACTCTTAGTTTGTCTGGAGAAAGTATGAATGAATAAGTGTTTAAGCCCAGATCTGGAAATATATAAGATCCATCTCATATACAGTTTAAGAAAACACTCAACAACAGACAATTCTGTATTACATTATGCACATATTCTCACTCACTTGCCAGATTATTTGGTACACCTGCTGAGCTGCTCATTAATGCAAATATCTAATCAGCCAATCACGTTGCAGCTCAATGTATTTAGCCATGTTGACAGGGTTAAGATGAACTGCTAATGTTTAAACCAAGCATCAGAATACAGTCATTTAATTTACTTTAAACATGGAGTTTTTGTTGGTGCTGCATGGCTTGGATTGAGTATTTCAGAAAGAGTGATTTCACACAAAATATATATGAAAATTAGTCTGATATAGTCAGTTTTATATATAATACAGTTGATTACACAATATACATAATACAATATACATAAAACACATAATATAATATAATATAATATAATATAATATAATATAATATAATATAATATAATATAATACAATATATTATAATATAATATAAATGAATATAACATAATATAATAAAATACAATATAATATAAATGAATATAATATAATATAAATTAATATAATATAATATAATATAATATAATATAATATAATATAATATAATATAATATAATATAATATAAATTAATATAATATAATATAATATAATATAATATAATATAATATAATATAATATAATATAAATTAATATAATATAATATAATATAATATAATATAATATAATATAATATAATATAATATAAATTAATATAATATAATATAATATTTCCTAATTAATGTTTAACAGAGCAATAATTTTTTTGTCTATATTTTTAATTTGGGTACAATAACATGTAAAAACATTTTAAGGTCAATGTCTACAAAACAAACTATTATGTTTACAAATGTGTTGAAAAACAAATATTTCCATTAAACACACATTTTGGAACAAAATATAAAAAGGGATATAATATAATTTGTCATTTAATAATATATATATATATATATATATATATATATATATATATATATATATATATATATATATATATATATATATATATATATATATATATATAAAGTGCTCATATGTACAGTGGCCAAGAGAGCTTAATATGCTGCAATTTAAGAAAACACATGAAATTAAAAAATATGCCATTAAATTGAGAAAAGATCTTCATTCGTTTGACAGCACATGTATTGCAAGTTCTTAAAACACAAACACATTTTTAAAAATGTGCTGCATTTTAACACATAGCAAACAAATTTATAAAACATTTTGCATTTTCTCACAAAGCAAACTAACTATGAAATGCCTCCAAATTCTCACAACATTTTCAAACAGCTTGGAACACAGGAAATGTATCAAGGGCACCCTAAAACGTGACAGAGGCTATTTAGGTTATGGTTTAGGTTTATTTAGGCTACTAAAATATAAAGACACGGGAATCAGGATGTTAAAACAAACAAACTAAAAACTCACCTTTCAAAGATCACCTGCAACTTCCCTGACTAATAGTCACGGCAAAGCAGCATCAGTCACATTTTAGGGTCACCTTAAAACATTTCCGTTGTGTTTCCTTCTTTGCTTTTTTGTGTTCTTTTTCTTGCGTTGTGGGAAAATGTTTTTTTATTTAACGTTCATGTGTTCTGAGGATTTGCAACACGTGTGTTGTCAAACAGAAGAAGATCTTTTTTTATTTGCTTGTGTTTTTGTAGTTGCAAGTGTTTTACTTAAATTGCAACACCTTAAGCTCTCTTAAACACCATGCTACGACAACGTAAAAAAATTCATGTCTACTCTTATAAAAATCAAATCAGTGCTAGAAAGAAGTTCACTAAGATGCCACAACAAACCCTGTTGGTTTTCTTTACTTAATAAAGGTAATTATTTATTTATTTTTTTGCTAATATTGTGAGTATATGCAAATAAATGTTGACCCTATAGTATTTATTTTATGACAGAGTATTTTATGTTCTTTTCACTCTTGCAAGTGAATATGCTGACCCACTAAATAGTTTATCTAGATGGCTGAGGAATCCCCTGTCATTATCATAACTTCATTCGCCAGCTTCTGCATCTCTGCCACAAAGATATAAAGCAGTTCTGAAGGCAAAAGGTTGTACCTAATAAAGTTAAGTGTATACAGTATATTTATGTATGTAATAAAACATTAACATA